TCTCAATGTTTCCCACCTCCTCCATTAAAGTCATTGGAACTCCACACTCATTAACTCTCTCTTCTCTCCTTTTAAAATCGGACCAGACTGGACGATCGGATAGGAAAAATGGGAACTGGTCGACTGGTTCCGCTTTTTCCCTCAAAACCATTGATTTTAGTCAGCAAACCGCTGAACTCCACACTCATTGGCCCCAAATATTAGACATCTCAATGTTTTCCACCTCCTCCATCAAGGTCATTGGAACTCCACACTCATTAACTCTCTGTTCTCCCTGCTGTTTTTTAAAATCGGACCAGACTGGACAGTCAGACCGGAAAAACGGGAACTGGTCGACTGGTTCCGTTTTCCTCCAAAACCATTTTTCCCTCAAAACCGTTGATTTTAGTCAGCAAACTGCTGAACCGACTGGTTAACCATTCGAATGGTTTTGACCGTTTTCCAATTTTTTTATTTATTTTTTGTCAGAATAGGCTGGTCGTTTGAGTCGAACGGTCAGACTGGTTTGAACCGGTAACCGGACCCCTGACCGGTTCGGTCACCGGTTCATTTTTAAAAACCATGGTTCTCCCTGAGAGAAGCCCAATGTATTCAGGCAACCCCCATTTTCTCAGATTTAAACCTTCCCCACTGGATTTGGCTCCCTCACTCATCAGGTAAGTTTACAGCTAAGAGAGGCTATCAACACGAAATCTTTGTGCTTCAGGCCAATATTCCTCCAAGACTTTCATTTTGTCTCAAACATATTTGGAAATTAGATACTGGCCCAAGATTTGAGCTGTTTTTATGGAGAGTTATCAATGATTATATTCTAGTAAAGGAAAAGCTCAGTATTGAGAAAAATCGAAAGCTTTCGTCTTTTGTGAATCTCATGTTGAATCCCTTACACACCTCTTTCTGACTTGTTCTTATACCCAAGTAATTCTTTTTGGTAACCCTTGGAATATTAATTTCATAAATAGATTTCAAGATTCTTGGGTAACAAGCATTCATAATCTTTTTCAACAAGTTCAAGACATTCACTTAGCTAAACAGATTTTAACTTGGTTGGCAATTACTTTGTACTTTTTATGGCTTGCAAGAAATGAAAAGTGTTTCAGAGGAAAGGTAATTCAGCCTATAATTCTCTTGCATCATATAAACCAAATCTACAACCAATCAATGTTATTTTTTCATTGTCTATTAGATGCAAAGGATTGATAGAATTTCGTGGGGATGGCAATGGGGTAGGTTGTGGTGGGGTTTGTAAATTCTAGACCCTATCTGTCTTTCTAAACCTCCTAACCCGTACTAACACCAAGAGAATCCAAACCCTCTCCAAACATAAAAAAATGCAAAGCCTTCCCCGATCTCACCCTTCCTGCATTCAAGGTAGGGTGGGTTGGGTTTAGAAGATGCATCTAATTTCTTATTATTTTTGTTACATATAAGCAACAAATGAGTAAAATAACATGAAGAAACTGGATAATTTTCAATTATTTGATTAAGACACCTAAAAGCACAAACCATAATTTATTCTTCACATAAAATTCAAAATATCATTAAATTCAACACCTAATACATAAAGTTCATATGCTTCCTAAGTATATATTTGATCCCATTAGTGTTTATTAAATAAATGCTTATATTTGATTTGGCATCAAAACCGAAAAAAAGTTGTTAATAATTGTTTATTGACAACTAGGCACCATTAAATGTCACATTAGCCAAACAATGAATAAATGTTTAACTTTTGAGAGAAGTGTTAAAATAAGCTTCCCCCAACAATTGATACACATAAATCAATACAAACTTTTATCAATATCGATGCGTATGAATTTGTATGATGGGATAAATGTTGACATGATGATGACATGGCACCATTTATCAAAATGCCCCTCGCATTTTGATGACATGGCACCATTTATCAAATATATGCTAATAATACAAAGGTCTTTAGCCTAATATTATACCCTGTGGGATAAATGTTGACATGATGATGACATGGCACCATTTATCAAAATGCCCCTCACAAATCTCCCACACATAACCAAATATACGCTAATATTATACCCTGTGGGATAAATGTTGACATGATGATGACATGGCACCATTTATCAAAATACCCTATGGGTACGAGTTGTAAAATCCCAAAATCCCTCCTTTAAACAAACAAAACCATGCCCCTTTTGAGGTGGGTACCCATCAGGTAAGGTATAAATTTCCATCCCATGAAATCATCCATTTCATGAAAACTACCAAAAAAGAAGAATTTCATGGCCCCTAAAGTTGGATATGAGCAAGGGGTAGAATGGTCCTTTCTGAAGGTGGTGATGCAAAGGTTGAAATTTGGTCAAATTTTTATTGGGTGGGTTATGCAATGTGTCTCTTTAGTATCCTACCAGCTGATTATTAATGGTAATTTGAGTCAGACCTTTTGTCCAACCAGTGGTCTTAGGCAAGGAGATCCACTTTCCCCGTATTTATTCCTGTTAGTCTTCGAAGTTTTATCTTTGGCTATTCATAATGCTCATTCTCATGGTAGACATTCAGGAGTTAAAATTAACAGAAATTGTATTGCCATCACACATCTGTTCTTTGCACATGATTCCTACGTGTTCACAGAAGCAAACATTGAGCAAGGAGGCCTGATTCTGGAAATCATCCAACAATATGGCCAAGCTTCAGGACAGTAGGTGAATCTCTCTAAATCTGAAATTTTCTTTAGTCCCAAAATGCATCATAGATTCTAAAAAATGATACCCAGGGTGATGGGGGGTTAAAAAGGTTACTTATGCTTCCAACTATCTAGGTTTACCTGCGGGATTAGGGAAGTCAAAAAAGGGTGCTTTAATTATATCTGAAAAAGATTGGAGACCAAATCAAAGAGCTGGAAGGCAAATTTTCTTTCTCCTGCTGCAAGTAAGGAGGTGTTGATTAAAGCAGTCCTAACGGCAGTCCCAGCTTATACAATGTCAGCTTTTCTCATACCTATAGGAATCTGTGAAAAAATCAAAAGAATTCAAAGGCAATTCCTGTGGGGGGAGAATAGTATGCAGAAAAAAGTTAATTGGGTGAGTTGGAATAATATTTGCAAAAGTAAATTTTCAGGAGGGCTGGGTTTCAAATACCCTCATCTTTTTAACCTAGCCCTTCTCTCAAAGCTGGCCTGAAGGGTTTGCACTAACAAGGATAGCCTTTGGTGCAAAATTATAAAGGGAAGATACTTGGGGGATAAGAATTTCTGGAGCTGTAAAGTTCCTAAATCATGCTCCCGGGGCTTTAGAAGTTTAATGGTAGGGAGAGAAGTTCTAAGGGAAGGGTATTGTTGGAGTGTGGCCAATGGAGAAGACTTGTCATTATGGGAGGACCCATGGATAAATGAGATTCTTCATTTCAAACCAATGGGTCCTCAACCAAAAGATAGTGAAAAGGCCAAGGTAACTGACTTGCTTAATTCACAAAGATCGGACTGGGATTACAGAAAACTAAATGAGTTGTTTGACCCTTATACCATTGAAAAGATAGGCAAAATAGAAATATGCTAATGTGGAAGCCAGACCCAAAAGGTAAATTCTCAGTAAAATCAGCTTATCAGCACTTAGCTTCTAAGGATCAAATGAAGACCCCAAGCTTAACTCAAAACTCTAATGGAAACAAGCTATGAAAGAAAATTTGGGTCTTTAAAATCCCTCAAAAAATAAAACACTTTCTTTGGAAATGTTGTCATAATAGCATTGTAGTTAAACAAGTCCTAGTGAGGAGATAGATAGGAACTCAAGACCTCTGCCCAATCTGCGGCAGAGAGCCTGAATCTGTCATGCATGCCATGTTTTTGTGTGATCATGCTAGGAATGTTTGGTTTGGTTGTGATTTAGCCATTCGGGCATGACTGTTTTTCTCGTTTAGCTATTTTATTGGTGGATTAATCAGGAACAGATTCTGCTCAGTGCGGGTGAAGATGCTTTGGAACTCTCTGCTATTGTGCTTTCAAACATTTGGAAAGCCAGAAATGGTTTTGTATTTGAGTCTATTTCCCCAAACCCTTTTAATGTTCTCCTTGCTTTTCGCAGGTTGAGGATGGAAGTGAAGAGAGCTTCCCCTCCAAAATCAACCGACTTTTCCTTGCTGGACAAGCATTTTTTTCAAAGATGGATGGAATGTGAGGGGTGTATTGCAATGACAGATGGAAGTTTTGGAGCTGGTAGGAGTGCTTTTGGTTTTTGGATCTCTGTTAATAGAAAACACCTGTTTTTTGCTAAATGTGGGCCTTGTAAAGTTTTGTCTGCTCTCTACGCAAAGGCCTTAGCAGTTCAAGAGTGTGTCTCGTTCATTTATTCATTTATGGGCTGGGACTGAGATCTGTTAATATTTTTCTGTGACTCCTCTACTCTTGTGACATTTATTTCCAAGAGATCTTTTGATTGCGAGCCTTTTATCTTTTATCTGGCCTATCCTTCATAGCCTGTTTGCTTTATCTGATTTTTCTTTGAAGATTTTCTTGGCAAAGAGGGACTCAATTGGGGCAGCGCATAGGCTGGCTGCCATGGGAAAGCATGGCTTTCAGGAATTCTGGAGGCATCCTCCGCCCTGGATGCTCCCACATTTTAGTCTTGAAGATGTGGCTCAGATGTCTGTTGCTGCGGTGTGGAGCTCTGATCCTCCTCAGTTGTTTTTGTGTTTCTTGCGCTCTGCGTGTTTTCTTGTTTTCTGTTTGTTTCTTCGCTGTCTTTTCTACCAAAAAAAAAAATTTCCATCCCTATTTTGGCTACACGAAGAGTAGAATTATTAGCAACGACACTTAATGGAAGACCACCTATTGACTTACATCGTAATAACCGTCAGCCCCTAATACGGTCATCAGTCATCAATTGCAGTTAAACTGGACTCTTTTGTCAATACTTAATACACGGGTAATAGGGGATATTTTCTCGTAAGCTACGAAGTTTGTTACAATGTCCAGAATGCCCCTCTGTCAATTTCATGGTCATGGGCCTCATGGTTCCTATGACTATGCGTGGATGATGGTTCCTTTTCTACCTGTACGTCAGAGAGAAGTCGCAGGGAGTGGCGGCACCAGCCACCAGTTCGTAACAGAAGCACGGCGCTACTTTCGCAAATTTGATTAAAGATTAGGGTATCTTTGTAATTGGATATTTCTACCCGTATTAATTCTCCCTTTCCCCGATCTCTTTTCGGGTTTTCTTCGTCTCTCCCTCTATTTCTATCCCTCTCTGCAACTGCTTCACAGTTTGTTTTCCATTCGCAAATCGTTGAAAACTCTAATCTTTTTGGCGGGAAAGATGTCGGGAAAAGGCGCGAAAGGTTTGATTACGGGGAAATCCTCAGCTATGAACGCTAACAAAGACAAAGACAAGAAGAAACCTGTCTCTCGTTCTTCTAGAGCAGGCTTGCAGGTTCTCTTCATATCTCCTTTGATATATATATCTAGATGCTCCTGATGGACCTGATCTCTTATCAATTACCGGTTTTATTCCACTGTTTTGTGGATTTTTTCTCCTTGGTTGGGTTCTGCAAGGGTTTCTAGTTCATGGTTCCTTTCCTCCGTTTTTGAGTTTCTTATACCTGTCATTGGTGCACAGTAGTTAGAACCTTATAGGCTACTTCTTCTAGAAGTTATATTTATGGGAAACAAATATAGAAACACGAAAAAAATGGCATTGATGTTCTATTTATGCTCGCTTCTTTGTGCACTTCCTCAGCTCTTGTTTTTTCTTGTTACTCTGTAGCGTCTAGAACTGTTCTGTTTTATTTCATTCTATCATTTCTTGATAGGAGTTACTCTATATTTTAATGGAGTCTCGCTTGTTTAAAAAGATTACATTTTTTGATAACCGGTAAAATATTTCGTTAAAGTGAAACAAATACTTAATGGAACTAGAAAGTTGTCCGCACTGCAAAAAGCAAATGACAATGTGGGTTTTATGATCTAAAGTCGTTTATGGCCTTTAGCCTCTCTCACGGTATTGTAGATGGCGAGATGTGTTGGACGAATTGTTAATTAAACAATTAATACATTTTGTTTCATAGACAAATGGATTCTGGAGGTAAACTCAAGATAGCATTTGTTTTAGCCTGTTAAACCCTTTTTGAATCCGTTATTCAGTACCAATGTTTAAGTCATTGACTTATTTGGAAGTTAGTAGTAGTTGTGTTGTTTATTTATTTATTTTTTTTGACAAGTATTAGTTGTGGTTGTTCCAACCATATTAGTTCTCTTATAATGCTTACTAGCGGGGAAGCTCCTGATTTGCAGGGGCAAAATAGAAAAATGCCATTTGAAGATACAATAATAAATTAGGTTATATTTTTTAAATAAAATAATTATAACTATATTATTATAAATAATAAATAACTATAGTGGGCTCCAATCTGGTTTAGGGTTGTCAATGAGTCACAACTAAGTAGAACCAGTCTTGAACCAATTATTTAATTTGGATCAAATCATAGACCTGATTATATTGAAACAATAGTTAAAATAATACTACTTTATTTTTATGTTAATAAGTTAAACATTTTAACTAATATTATCTGATTTATTATTTATCAAATTTACTATTTCAAACATGAAACATTATAAAAATTACAAAAAAGAAAAAAAAATATATTTCATAAAATATTTGATTCCAGACTTGAATCAATTTTGGACAGGTAATGAGAATCAATCCAATAATTAATCAAGACAAAATCATGGAACCAAAACTGTTATAATTATGTTCAGTCAATTTAGTTCCATCAGGACAGACCCAACCCATTGGTTCAGCACCATTTTTTCTTAAATAAATTAACGTTTATATAATAATTTATTAAATTGAATAAAATAAATAAATAAATAAATAAATAAAAGTTTATTGGGATGGGACTGGTATAAGCTATCCCAAACTAGACCTGACCCGTTGACAATGCTAAATATGGGCTCAAGAGGAGAGAATAATTTGTTAGTAAATTATTTCTAAATAAATAATTTAGTAAAATAAATAAATAAATAAATGAATGTTTATTAAAATCTTTCTCTCAATGTCACACCTCCTTTATTTTACTGATTTAGTTTATTAAAATAAATAATTTATTTAATTTTATTAAACAAATAAATGTTTAGATAATAATAGTAAAATAAATAAATGAATAAATAAAAATTGAGATAGAGAATAGGAGGAGAGAGAGAGAGAGAATTGAAAAAGAAGAGGGATGGCATAATCGTAAGTAGTTGTATGTGGCACTCCTGTAATTTTTGAATATCATAGGGGCAATTACATGGCAAGGTAAAGAAGGTGCATTTGTCTTATATGTGACATTCTTGTAATTTTCGAATGCTAGAGTAAAATGAGGTGGGAGAGAAGAGAGACAGAGTAAAGGAGAAAAGGGAGGGAGAAACACGTGTCAATAATTTAGAGCATGTCTGTCAAGGCAAGAGCAAACCACATGTCAACCTCCAAATGCTGCCATACATCTTCCCAATGCTTTAAGTATATAATTATAGATTCCCATTCTGCATGTTAACTAAAGGAGTTGGTGGTGGAGATGAACCACTTGCTCGGTTGGTATCTAATAAAGTCTGAACATTGACAATCGACACCTCAGGGTTGGATTCGGTACCAAACTTTGTGTATTTTTTCAAGTATCTAATATTGCATGGGGCGTCCTGGAGCTGAAACAATTTTAGTCTTTGCATGTATTTGCTTACAAATACTCTGCTACAAACTTCTGCACAGAAAGATATTGGATATTCTAGGCATACAGAGGCTTGAGCCCACTCAGTGAGGGAGGTAGGTTCTTGGCATCCATAGGTGACCCCTTCAGTCTGAAAGGTTTTCACTTCAGCTAACCTGACTATGGATATCCCTGTCTTGTTTCTAGAGAGGGTGTTAGGAGGAGTATATTTTATTGGGATTGTAGCTTGCTGGCTGAAGCTCTGCAGTTTGTATTCTAATGCTGTATGTTATTCTGTATTGGTACCTGTTTGTTTTTCTTAGGTTTCTTTTATAGCCTGTGATCTCCTTTATAGCTCCATTGTATTACTTTCTCTCTCTAGTGCAGTTTCATTGCTATTGGTAAAATGATCTAATTCTGATGAAACATTGTTAAGTATGATCAATAGAAAGGATAGACAAATAATCCAACTACTCTAGATGATGCCCTAAAGATGGATAAGCAATCACTTAAGTCAATGACATGGTCAGCTGTTTTTTGAATGCGATTTAGTCTTTAATGTGGAATAAGGTTGCATTTGCCACTGGTGCATTCTAGGATTTCTGTTGATCTGGCAGTCTGAATTCTACAATTGTGGAGGTTTGAACTCGGACCAGTCATTTTGTGAGACTTCAAGAATGCAATTCTTTTTTTTTTTTGGGGGGGGGGGTCTGTCTGAGAGTAATGAATGGTTTTTCTTCTATATCTTCTATGTTTAAGGGCATCTACTAGTGAAGATGATGTCAATACCATAGAACTTAAGTGGAGGTGGCCATTAGGGAAAGTTTCAGTGTTCATCATGGTTATTTTTGCTGATCTTTTTAGGAGATCGATCACAAGCATGCCTTGCAACAACTTGTGTTGGAGCATGCCCTTTACATGATTGTGATGATCGATTGGAAATGGCAGGAATGAGTCAACCCCATTTAGGAGGACCTGTGGATTTTTTTTTTGGTTCAGAGTTTGAAACCAGACTAGATTTTAGATTTGTTTCTTATATGTAGTTTCATACTTGTGTGATTTCTATTTGGAGGTGTTGCATATCAATGTTTTAAAAGTAAGAAGGCCAAGCCTCTTAGAGACTGAGGTGCAAGGCACACCTGTACAAAGTGCACCGCCATGTTTGAAGAAAGAAGTCAATTGATTAGCTTCATATACAAGAAACATATAATATAATTCTGAAATACATAAGCTTTTCAAAAGACCTATTAATCCATTTGGTTAGAGCTTCATGTTATTAACACAATGGTCCATGTATGTTCATGCCCTACATGGGCTAAACTGTTTGAACTCTAAACATTATAGGTACAACCTATTCAACATCAAATTCAATGGTAGTTCTTCAAAACTTATCAATAAACCAGGTGAAGCACACCCCACAAAGTGAGCCTACTGTGCATGACATATTTGACATGCATTTGTGTTGTTCAATTCTAGTTTGACCATGGTTTTGCAAATTCATGCTTTGATGTACTCGTGCTTCAATCTATAGAATCTGTGGTTAGGTGATTGGATGGTACTGGTCAAATTGCATCTGAAAACTTAATGTGCTATTCCATGGTAGAAATACGTTTAAACCAGTGGGATGTATGTTTCCTTTGTCAAGCAAGTAGTGAGACCATGTTCTACCTACTAATTTCCTGTCCTTTCACTTCTTGCATTTGGGAGTTTTTTTTTTTGTTTTTTACAACTTGTATTTGGCTGTGGGTGGAATCCTCTTAGGGATATCAAAAATGTCTTCAGCCATTTGTTTTCCTGTCCTCCTAAGAGAGAGGAGGGATAAGTGGTTATGGTGATGTGCAAAGGCTGCGATTATTTGGAGTGTGTGTGTGTGTGTGGGAAGAAATGAATTTTGGAACTTTCAAGGAGAAGGTGCAATCTAAGGAAGCTATCATAGAAAACATTTCTGTTAAGGTGGTGCGTTGGGTAAAGTTATTGGATGTCTTTACCCCCTCAATACTCGGTACATCATTTGGAATGGGAAAACCATGTCTAGCTCATCATTTCAAGGATGCATTTCAATAAAAAATTATTCCAAGGAGAACAGCAAAATGGTTATGGACACCACCTCCCAATCAGATCAAAGTGAATTTTGATGGCTGCAGTCTTGGCATTCCAGGGGATCCAGGAATAGGAGGTGTATTTAGAAGCTATGAAGGACACATCTTTGCTGCATTATTGGTCCCAGATATGTTGGCATTTCCATTTTCCTCATGGATTGAAGCTTGCTAAAGGTATAAATTTCAGACATTTACTAGCGGAAGGAGATTCCTGTGTAGTTATTGGCTGGCTTGCAAAGAGGGATTCAAATGGCTACAAGCCTACAACCACTCAATTTTTGCACTGTGTCAGACTGTCAGCCAGTGCACAATTGATCACTTACTATTTGCCTATTTGGTTATTTATTGATAAGGTTTATGAACAACCTGGGCTATTTCAACTGATTTCCACCCCTTGGTGGAACTCCAGTACAAGGTGGGATGTAACACTGACATGGTCTGCTGGAACGAAGATGAATCTGGCATGTTCCTTGTCTGCTGGACTATCTTTTTTTTGTTCAATTGCTGGGCTGTCTGGAATCTGGATTTTCCAAAGGATTCCCAGCCCTATGCAAAATTCTGATACAATGCGGACTATGGGGATGATGTGGTCCATTGGAATAACCACATGGATGATTTGGAGGGTTCCTCACTGACCTGGTTAGGGAACCTTCCCCCCACCCANCCCACCCACACACACACACACATTGTCACATCCACATCTGGATGTTATTGAATTAGATTTATTTGATCAATTACTGCTTGATTCTTTTTCTTTTGTGATCTTGTGCAATGTGTTTGTTTGTGATGGTTGACCATAGCTCATAGATCCATTTAACTGAATACATGGCCAATTTGTTGGGTCACCTAATAGACCCAATTAGGAAACATATCTTGACAGACACAAACACACATCTACATTTGGATGTTTTAGCTGGATTCTTTTGATGGATAGTTAACTGGATTTATTTAATCAACAACCATTTGATTTCTTTTTCTTATCTTGTGCAACCAGTCAATTTGTGATGGTTAGCCAGACACAAACACACAAATCTGTTCATAATTTTAAAATCAGAATAAGCAAGGGCCCTCACACAATTGAAGACCCAACATCTGCCACCAATTTGACTTCGTTTCTAGCCTGTCTTCAAAAATCCGTTTGTTCCTTTCTCTCCAAATGCCCCAATAGTCTGCAAAAGGAATGGTACTCTAAAATATTTTAGCTTTCTTGCTGCCTGTCAATCTTGTCCATTTAGTGAAGGTTTCCTGAGGTTGAATCGGGCAAGAAAGAACACCTTAAATAATGCAGAAAAGGACCAAACAAGCACTGTTACTTAACACTGAATAGATAAATGGCATGAATCTTCCTCGTTAGACATGACACATCTATTTGGAATATGAAATCCCCTTGATTTCAATGATCAATTGTGAGAATGCTATCCAAGGAATGAAGCCACAAAGAAGCCTCAACTTGAGGGGGAATTAAATTTCCCCAATTACCTGAAAAGTTCCTATTCCCCATCTGATCTCTCATCAAAGCATCGTAAAAAGATTTATATTACAGAAAATTTTCCATTTTTACATTCTTCCCTCCATATGGAGGGGTGCATCCGGAGTTTTATGTGATAGGTGAATACTGCTTAGATTAAAAGGAAAATTCTATAAAACAGTTATAAGGCTAGATATTGCTGTATGGAGCAGAGTGTTGGATAGTCAAGAAACACGTCTGAAAAATGAGTGTGGTAGAAATGCATGTGTTGAAATTCTAGAAAGGATAGGTACAGAAATGTAGTCCTTTGGAGGAACCTAGGTGTAGCTCCAATAGGTGATAAAATGAGAGAAAGTAGACTAAGATGATTATGGTTTGGCCACATGCATAGAAGACCTTCAACAACACTCGTAAGAAGTGATTTGCTGAAAGTTGAAGGGGCTTGAAGGGCTAGGGGTTGACCAAAAAATACATGGGTAGAAGTAGTAATAAATGATTTAACCACCAGTAATTTATCAATTGATATGCCATTAAGCAGAACAGAATGGTGAAATATGATTAATATAGTCGGCCCCATATAGTTGGGATAAGGCTTGGATGATGATGATTCATGACATTCTTTCCACTATATGGCATTAGTTTTACAAACATCATCTTGACTTCTTTTAGTTTGGGAAATAGAAGAATGTCATGTTTGATGACATTTTGCACAATTCATCCAATTCTCTATCCAATAAATGGACACCCAATACAACTTGATCTCTTCTTGCAAAATACTTATAGCAATGTTATTTATATTCAGCTTGTAATGCCTATGACAATCCTCACCCCATAAGAAGTTACTTCTCTTGTATCGCAATCAAAATTCACCACCCCATATCTGCAAAGAGCAACTCTCCTCCAAAGAGCATTTCTTTCTTTTCCAAACCTTCACGACCATTTGATGATTAAAGAGATTAGTGAATGAAAAAGACAGAGGAGTGAAATAGGAAATATTGATTTCCCACTGATGGTAGCGAATGTTCTTGAATACTATTGGTGAAAGTGGTGCCTGAACGAGAACTAATAAGTACATGGATAATGACTATGTAATGTTAAAGCCAATTTATCTACTGAGTTGATCGGTTTGCCCTACATTTCTTTCTTTGGTTGAGCAGTTGATTATTTATTTTGAGCATCTTGAGACAGCCTTGATGTGCATTGCACTATGTATGCTATCAATTAATAGGTTATTTTGGTTATCTTGATTGAATTTATTACATTCTATAATTTACTATTGATTGATTGGTTCTTTGGAGTATCCTGATTGAGGTAGATATGGCTTGTGCATCATATCATGTATGATACCTGTCTGGTAAGGATGCTATCAACCTATAAGCTGCTACAAATTTCAGAATGACTATTAATCTGGAAAATTTCCAGGAATGTTTCTTTTTTCTCGAAGTACCTGATCATCGTCATGGGGCTGCTACATTTGGGAAATGGATCTCAAGTTTTTTACTTATTTTTGGATAAACAATTGGGATCTCACATGCAAGCACTTTCCTATAGTTCCATTTTGTAGGCTCTGGGATTTTCTATGCAGGCTTAATGGTGGCGATTTTTTGGGGCACTGGAGAGTATCTTTTACCTTGTTGAATACCAATATGGTCTGAGGGCATCCATTCCTGCCAAAAGAATTGCTGGACTTGGGGATTAACATAATCTTCCTTCCTTTGTAGTATTTCTTCTGTATCTGATTGCTACTTTTGATTGAATGAGACAATTTTGGTATCAGATATCTTGCTTATGCCAGAAAGGATGTGGATATAGTTATTGAAAAAAGATTTGAAGAATCATAATTTAATAGACATCATGGTGAAATGCGAAAACAGAATTCTATAGCTGATCTGAGATGGTTGGTAAGGCTTTGTTGAGTTGAGTGCCTCTTGTTTGGGCTAAAAATGGTGAAATGAAATCCAACATGATTCATACAGAAGCAGTGTGGGCAGATTATTGAGGTTCACCTGTACTATCTTTCTTATTAGGATATTTCTTCTTATGGTAGATCTCAAAGTAGGTAATGGTGGTAGTTGCAACTTGAGTTTCCACTAGTCGAAGTTCTCTCTTCAAGTTTTGTTCAATTCCTGTCACATGCACAAAAGAAAAATGGTTGTGGAAAATATGCAAGGTATATAAACAAGAAGCAAGCCCAACTATTTTAACTGTGGGAAATGGGAAATGGACAAAATATGTAAGAAAATGCCCAAGTAGCAGTTGGGAAATAGAAAAGAGAAATGTATGGGAAATTGAGAATGCTAATTCTGTTTTCCAGGATTTTTCGTAGATTCGTAGTACTTGTGGTTTCCTTGTATATTCTATTGATGTTTTTCACCATGTTTTACATCCTGTGCATATCCCCATTTTATGGGGAATGCCATACTTTTTTTTCACAGGAAATAAGAGTTCACAAGAAATGCATTATCAAAATTTATGATACATGCTGTGTTTCTTTTTCTCTCTAATGAGAAACTGGTATGCATATTATATACACTATCAAACAAGTTGCTTTGCAATTTGCAGAACATTTCTCTCTTTAATCAGTTTATGTTATATGCCTCAGTTTCCTGTTGGCCGTATTTATGTATTTATATTGCATACACCTTATCAAAAAAATTGCTTGCTTTGCAATTTGCACAGTTTCTCTCTAATTGACCATTTTGTGTCATTTGCTGCAGTTCCCTGTTGGCCGTATCCATCGTCTCCTAAAGTCCAGGATTGCAGCTAATGGAAGAGTGGGGGCAACAGCTGCTGTGTACTGTGCAGCAATCTTGGAGTATCTTACTGCAGAAGTCTTGGAACTGGCAGGCAATGCCAGCAAAGATCTGAAGGTTAAACGTATAACACCAAGGCATCTGCAGCTTGCAATCCGAGGGGATGAAGAACTTGATACACTGATAAAAGGAACTATAGCTGGTGGAGGTGTGATTCCTCACATCCACAAGTCCCTGATCAACAAATCCTCCAAAGACTAGTGGCTTAATGCTGTTTAAGGGGTATTGAGTTGCTTATTTTGGCTGTGTACAATTGCAGACTGGCTGAACTCCTTTTCTGCTGCTGAGGCTGACTGGGTATTGTCATCTTTTTTCCCTATATTATTGGTTATATTTTTCCTTTGAGGCAGATAGGATTGTTTCATCTCATTCAAGTAATTACTTATAAAAAAACTCCATGCAAGTAATTATGCAAATTTTGCTCCACATGCTTTTCTTTTCGTCTGATTTCTATGCTTTTTCACATGTGCAGCCGTACTGTGGTTAAGCAATGCAGTTTCGGTGCATGATTTTGTGTTTAATCTCCATTCAAGATCTTAGCTTAGGGGTCGTGATGTGCTGCGACCGCAGCTGTGTATAATGGGCTACGTAACCAATGACAAATGAAGTGAACACTTCATTGTTCCGTACACAGGGGACCGCATGTGATATGGGTCATATGTGTCCCATGTGTCCAGAACACTGGCGTGTTCACGTGTGATTGGTTATGTAGTCCGTTTTACACCGCTGTGTTTGCAGCAGATCCTTTGTCAAATCTAAGATTACTATGCACCATATGTCATAGAAACTTAACGATAATCATACCAAATGGGTGTTGCCCTGCTAATAGAATCGAACATTAAGGGAGATATACTCAATGTGCGCCTGTAGTGTCTGTGGGAAGAAGTGTAGGAGATCGGAGTTCGTTAACTTCTGGAGTAAAGTTGAAAAATTCCCCGTCTTGGGGAAGTTTTGTCATGCATAATTTGTTAATTATTGAAGTTTTATGGAAATTAATTTACAGATCAACCATATAAATTGCCCCAATTTTATTGATTGGAGCAATTATGCAGTTCCAAAACTGAGGGGATTCTTCAACTTTACTCCAGAAGTCTAAATGCTACCTAATTTTTGCCTTTCTTTTTTTCTTTCTTTAATTTTTGCTATTAATATCATAGAAAATATCATTCCATCCAATTTTAACTATGTTATGCTTGGGCGCATTCTTTTTTTAATATTACTAGCAAGTAAGTTGGTGTGTCTGAAAGCGTGTCGTTAACCACTTTGGAACATCTGTTTCAATATTTATAAATTTTTCGATTATCAAAATAACTATAAAACGTAGTTAGTGATGAGAAAGAGGTCGTATTCACAGGGAAGTGAGGGAAAAATTGTTGTATACTTCAATCCGGACAAAATAACAAGATTTGATATTGTAGAAACACAAAACCTAATTAACTGAATTGAAATCCATTAAAATAAAATTCTAACAATGTTTAAAGTAAAAATTGTAGAAAAATAAGTAAATAACATAAATAAAAAAATTAAATAAAAAACTGCAACTTGGTTAGAGGTAGTAATCTCCAGATCTATCATTTGACCATCGAACTCGAGTTGGGCCTTCCGTCTTACTTGGCCGAATTCCAGATCTGCAGAAAGGAAGGCAAAAATTAAGTTTGACAAAAATAAATTGCAGAAATAAAATAAAAACTAGAAATTAAAGAAAGGAAAATAATAACACGCGTAAAAAGTAAATCTAAAACTATGGGAAACTGGTTGGGATCCAGATCCAGAGGTGGTAGTAGTGGATAGGCGAACTGCAAGTAGGAACCCCTCCCCTTGCCTGGGCATTCTTCTCTTCCTCTACCCTTGAACTTTTCAAGAACAACATTTCGTCTTACTTGGGGGCAGAATCCAACCTAAAAGAAAATAAAGAAAACAAAAGGGATGGTTGATCAAATCTAGTGGCGGTAGTTGTAGACTAGTTGGATTGATTAGAGGAACCCCTCCTGAGAAGATCTAGGCGTCATTCCCTTCTACAACCCTTGAACTTCTTAAGAAACCTTAGCCTTGTGAATTGACCAACCTAAAAGAAAATAAAGAAAACAAAAGGGATGATTGATCAAATCCAGTGGCGGTAGTTGTAGATTAGCTGGACTGCTTGTAGGAATCCCTCCTGACAAGATCTGGGCGTCCTTCCCTTCTACAACCCTTGAACTTCTCAAGAAGTCTTAGCTTTGTGAACTGGGTGAATTGACCAACCCCTTCTCCAGGGCCCCTGGGGTCATTTTTATAGAGAATGGTGGGCATAATTGGGATTAGAGAGAAAGAAGGGGGCAGTAGTTGGGTTTTTGTAGAAATATGGGCGCCCTAGGGTTGAGAATGGAGGGTTAGGATTGTTCTAAGGTGATCCTAATGCTGAGAAGAGAAGGAGAGGGCACCCAATATTATGTATGACTGAGATTTGGGCTCCTAAGATTGGATGGTGGAGATTTACGTGCCTAGGGCTGAAAGGTGGAGATTAAAAGGAGTGGGTGGCGCCCTAGAGTGAATGGCTGAGATAGAGAGTGAAATAGAGGGTTGAGATCTAGTGGCTAAAGGCTGAATTGTGAGATTAGGAGTTAGGTGGCGCCCTAGGGTTAGAATGCTAAAGAGAGGGCGCCCTAGAATGGAGGGTGGAGATTAAAAGGAATGGAAGGTGATGATTTAGTAGTTAGGGGCGATTAGGGTTTGTTAGAGGTGAAAATAATGAGTGGGGAAGCACCCTAGGGTTTGCTAAGGAGAGGGGAGTATGCTAATACAGTAGGAGGGGCGCCATTCTTGTTTTAGCAGATAGGAAGCACCCTCTTGTGCTCAATTTTTCACAGAAACACACCCCCTCTCTCAGCTAGAAGTCTCACTAGCTTCCCAAAATCTGCAGAAAATTCTGTAAATTTTTTGGTTTTTACCCAAAATTTGCACAGAGACCCTCAAAAGTCACAATATTGAATTTAACTGTGAAAATGACACATTTTGACTATTCTAAGGCCTAGGTAACCCTAAAATGATGCCCGTTAAGGCATCAAAATACAAAGTTATCATAAGCCCATGCAATACATGGGTAGAATAGAAATTTTGTTAGGTTTGGAATGACAAATTTGGATTTTGAAATTAGTTTGGGTACATCTCAGGGTTGTCTAGGGTTAGTCTTGGATTGGCCCTTAACCCTATCCAATCCATCTAATTTATACCTTTGTCTTATTAAGATAGTCAAAATTTAAGAGCAACTAAGGAAAAGAGATGTTAAGAGCTACCTGCGAATGTGTATAGGGATGGCAATTTTCCCCATCCCCGACAGTGACTTGACTTCCTTGGCCCCATCGGTTGGGGATGGGGATTATTTTGGCGGGGTGGGGACGGGGATGGGGATTAATAGGAATCCATGATCGGGGTCGGGGATTAAGGTCCCCGCCCTGACCCCGATTATATATATATATATATATTAAATTTTATTTATATTAAATATATATATTATATTATTTATATATATCAAAACATTATTTATAATTTAAATTTTTATTTATTTTAAGTGAATTTATTTTTCAAAAAAACTATTATCTAAAAAAATTATGGGATTTGGGTCCCGCAGGGAATCCATCCCCGTCGGGGATCGGGGATGGAGGACAAATTTTATCCTCATCGGGGATGAGGATGGGAGTTAATTTCATAATCGGGGTCGGGGACAGGGAATATGATTCCCACCCCGTTGCCATTCCTAATTGTGTACCTCATCATGGTTTCTATGAAAAAAAACTATTGGGGGGATTTAAGAATGAAATTATTAAAGAGAGTAATGATGGATTTGATTAGATGAAATTAAGACCTAGAGAGTTTTTATTATGACTTCTTATATTTTTCATAATTAAGTTTAAAAGTAGATATTCACATGTATGAGAAATGAGAGGACAAAGAGGTTGGTGTGGGGATGCACCTCTTTCTTCACAATCTTATTTATAAAACTTATAGACATCCTTTGTTAGGGTGCAACTTGGATGGACTTGGGTTGAGATTTTGTTAAAATTTGAATAAGCTTGACCTTGAAGATGGGATCAAATGAAGTGTAAATTTGCAAAGGGGGAATCAATGTTTTCAATCCGACGTTGACCTGGCTGGTTGAACCGTTTGAATCGTCACCTAGCTAGGATTCTAGATTTTGTTTATTCAAGACCCGCCAGACAGTAAAAAACCGTTAACTTGGTCAAGAACCGTTTGACCCGACTGGTTTGACTATTGACCCGTTCGACCCGGTCACCGGGTCGTGGGTTGTACACTCAATGCATGCAAAACTTTCGGAGACCATAACTTTGCACTTCAATATCCAATTGGGGTGAATTTTTTTTGATATCTTTTTGAGATCTATGTGTCCCAAGGATCTAAAGGTGCCTTGCTTCGCTATTTTCACAAAAAACCCTTTTTTGGTCTCAAATTACAATTTTTAATACTTTTTATAAATAAAAAAATAAAAAACTGAATTAAAAAAAACATAAATTAAATATAAAATAATACATATAACAAATTTAAAATATATTTATACATTATTTAATGCTAAAATAAATATATATTTATACACATATATACATATATATATATATATATGTGTGTGTGTATGTATGTATGTATATATATATATATATATACAATGATGTGGCGCAGTCTGAACCGTTTGACCCAGCTGGTCGAACCGGTGACCTACGACATGGAGGAAAAAATGGTTCAACCTCAAGGTCAGTTTTGAAAACATTGGGAGGGGGATATCTTTTTTATATATCATGATTCCATGATCAATTTTACATTTTCTTCTTAATTTCTTAATTTACATTACCTGGTGTAATGGTAAAATCTTGGGTTATTAAGCATAAAAATGCAAGTTTGAATCAGAGACCCTAGTTAGCTGGGACTAATATTGGGTGGCTGTTTGGCAAGTCTTTTTGGGAAGATCTTATGGTAGCTGTAAAGTTAAAAGACGCATTGAGCTTTTGCATGAAGATTTGAGTTGCCTGAAGCTAGTTTGGCTACTGCATGTCTTTCAGCGTCTTTCCACATGAGAATAAAGCGAGAATGACGCAAAAAGCTCCATTTGGGGCTTCCCAAAATCAACCCAAAATGGGTTTCTCGCATCTTTTTGGCGCTCTAGCTTTCGAGGGCTAGATCTTCTGCGAACCAAATAGGAATAGACTGAAAATTGGTCTTCCAGGCTTCTAAATAGACAAAAGACGACACTGAAAGATTTGCCAAACGGGTCCTTAATTTACACCTCTGCCTGTAAACTAAATTTCTAAAAGGTGGCTTCTCGGTTTGCAGCACGGTTAAAGCTTTCTTTCATTCTAGCAGAATGAATAGGATCATTAACAAGACTTTTATTGCTCTCATCCCCAAAAATCAGAACCCTGAATCAACAAATAATTTTAGA